TGAATTGATTGAATCTCAATAAAAAGTGGCCTATTTGAAAGTTAACAAGAAATAATATGTTATTGGCTATCAATTTTCTAAAATTACAGAGCAGTAAAAACATTCTTACTGCTTTATTTGTACTATTTATTTCCTGCAGTGGCAGGAGTAAGGGATAAATCCCCAATTAGTTGGGGCCCTTCGGGCCCCTGACTAATAGATTTACTGGTTTATTCCCCCACAGCATGAAATAAGAGTGTTATTTTTTATTTTATATAGCATCATGACAATGTTTTACGACTTATATAAATAAACTTTTTTTCGATATAAATAAGCTTTTTCAATATAAATAAGCTTTTTTCGATATAAATAAGCATTTTTACAATATAAATTTTTTTTTTCTTTGGTGATCTTTTTTTTTTTATATTTAATATGGATATTAGCTCACAAGAAAGTTTTGTTCCAGTATTTTATTTATATATATATATATACTACACATATTTTTTTTTATAAAATAAGACTTGTTTTCAAAGACTTTTAAATTAATTAATAGTAGCAATAATATTGCACAGAACATAAAGTATCACTTATTATTCCAGATCAAAATACCTCTGAAGACTTAAATTATATAGAAAATGATTTTTATACAATTATAATAACAAGAAGAATTATAAAGAAGCTACAAATAACAAAGAGAATTATAAAGAAAATACAAATGATAAGAAGAATTATAAGGAAGATATAAATATCTACAATAATGAAAAAACTGTAATCAGAATAAAACGAGTAAGGATTTTCTAAAAATAGTTAGTTTTTATTTTATAATAAGAAATGATATTATTCTAGATTAATTCCTCAAATTAATATTAGTAATTGCAAAAAATATTAATGTTGATATTAAAATTAGTTTTAAATAAATGTAATTATTAAATAAAATTATTAAAATTTTAAAAATTAAAAATTGATTACATTGTTTAAATGAATTCTAAAAAGTAGCAATGATTTCTAAAAGAAATTTACAAACTAGTAAACAAAGTAGTGCTATATTTTATTCTATCTGTAAGAATTTTAAAAACTAGTATCATAACTAGTATTTTGTTAGAATTTAAAGTGCACCTGGGGAAATAACAAAAAATTCTGGAAAAATAACAAGCAATTCCAGGGAAATAAAAAGCATAGCCAGAAAATTGATTTTCTTTACTGATTAAATAATAATTATAAGTCATAAAACCCTGTCATGTAATCATATAAAAATGTAGAATAATTTAGATTATACATATAAATTAAAAATTTTAACAATTTTAATATTGAATAAAAAAATATTTATAACAAAAAAAAAATACCAGAATATTTATATAATTTAATTCTCTATATTTATATTTATTTAAATTTTTAAGAAGTGTTAATAGCTTATTTACCCATTTATAATTTCTGTTTTAAAAAACTAAATATACAAGCCACTACAGGTTGAATCAATGAATATTGGGTGCATACTGGAAGACAAGTTTCCTGTTATATACTTGATAGCCTGCTATAAATCCGCCAAATAACTGCTGAATAACATTAGCATATTGGTAGAATATATTTGAATATTAACTAACTCTTTGTAATTATTTAGACTTACTAATCAAACTTTAATAGTTTCATCAACTATACTTGCATCAAGTTTTCTTCAAAGAAAGATCAGAACAAGCTTTTTTTTTTTTTATAATATATATTTAAAGTGCTTTTCTTCTTACTAATTTAAGTTTTCAATAGTAGTCTTGAATTAACAAACTACAAATGTTTTCCTTTTTTTGATATTATTTCAGAAAGTTAACATGGCTTTCCTGTAAAATGCATATGTTAATGTCTCTAAGAAGTTTAAAGATCTGTATAGTATTCTTGCAAAGGTATCTGAAATGCACTTTTTAATTGAAGCTATTATTAGAATAATTTGAAGAATCAAAATAATTTCTTGCAAAATATATTTGCTATATTTTTCTTTTTAGAAAAATTTTAGGTAATATGTATTTATGAAAGTGTATTTACTAATGAGTTTTATTCTATGAAGTTTTTCTTTTCTTTTGAAAAAATTTAAAGAAAATAGCATAGTGCTCTTGTAAAGCATATATTGTACTGCTGTGCTAACATCTTTTTTGTCAGTAGTTAGTGTAATAGTTGTTTTTTATACTGAAGTACAAGTTATACATAGCTTGACAGAGCAAGATAATAATTTGGCATCGAAGAAATCAAGTGACAAGACAAGCGAAGAAAGCACTGATGTTTACTATTTACTTTTACATGTATCTTTATAATCTCTATCACATGTACCAATATGCATATCTATAATTTTTCAACATATAGAGCTATAATATAATATTTTTTTTTGAAAATTATTTGCTGCATTAGCAACTACAGTATGTGATTAAGATTATGTAAGTTTGCATTGAATTTTTTATTTTATTTTATTTTTTTTAATTCTTTGACAGTCTTGTTAGTGCTCAAATACAAATAATATTACTATTAGACTAAATACAAAGTTTAAAAATTCTAATAATATCTAATTAAAAATTG